GTATCAATCAATATTCGTCCGACCTTCAAGTTGGTTATCTTCATAATTAATACCATAGGATCATTGTGCAAGGCTTTGATCTCCCCCCGGTCAGCCTCACTAGTGGTTACTTTAGGAAAGGGTTCGGCCTTTACTTCATCCGTTTGCATCACCTTTCCCAAGTTCCAGGCATCCTGCTTGATCCTTTTCATGGTGGGGCCGCCTGAGGCGAAACCTCCTTATATCACGGCCACAAAGCCTAAATCAGTACTATTCCCATCATCTTCCTTGTCTTTTTTCATATCATTTTTCTGTTTCTTCTCGGACGTGTTGTCTGTCCGTGTGTATGTGTACTTGGACTACATCACGTAAGAATCCAACATGCCCTTCTCGGCCAGCTTGTCCAACAACCTCTTCAGGTTGATGCAATTGTTCGTGTCATGACCCACATCTTTGTGGTAGTGAAAGTACTTGTTCTTGTTCCTGTACTAGGCCGAGCCTCTCAAAGGTTGAGGCTTTTCAATATCAAACTTATCCTTGATCTCCATCAAAATGGAGTAGAAATCTTTGTTGAATTCATATTGGGGCTCGTACGTCTTGACTTTCTTTGACCTAGCCTGCTGGCCGTCGGCCACCCAAACTTCTTTCCTCTTGTTTCCTTCTTTCTTTTGGCCAGCCGAGTCTTGCTAAGAAGGTTGTTTCTTCTCAGCCCCCTTGGCCGGCGCTTCTGATTTTGTGAGCGAACAAAAGTCCGCCGCCTCAATGTAGGCTTCGGCTTCTCGCAAAACACCTGCGTATGACCGAATTTTTTTCTTACCAAATCAAACTTAAAACCATTATGCCTCAATTCCCGGAGAAATTCAGAGTATGCCATTTTGTCCGGAAGATTATGGATTTGGGCCTTTTCTTGGTTATATCTTTGGATGTACGAGTGTAGTCCTTCATTTTTTTTCTTGCATAATTGTTGCCAAGTTGAGACTTGTTTTACTTGGTGGAATGTTGTAAGAGAAATTCCCTACAAACAGCAAACTGAGGGTGGTAAAACAATTAATGCACCCGGCCAGAAGGCTATTGAACTAATCCTGCGCCACTCCTTTTAAGGTGGCCGGGAAGCATTTGCACCATGTAGCATCATCTACACTTTGCAAGTACATCAAATTCCTGTACGAAGTGATATTCTCCTCGAGGTTTCCCGTACCATCATAGGCGCCCACGATTACGCTCTTAACTTTTGCTGGTTGAGGTGATGTTAAGATGTCTTGCGAAAACAGAGGCGGCTTATCTCCAAGGGTTAGTAGGCGCATCTGCCAATCAATTGGATGTGGCTGCGCGGACGGTCCAGCCAGGTAGGGAGCCTGATCGTACGTCTGTCCGTATGGTCCATATTGTCCGAAGACTTGGGGACTCGGCTGCATCAAGCTATTGAAACCCCGAGGAGGTTGATATTGAAGTGATTGAACTGGAATAGGAGTTGGAGTGCGAAAATCTTGACTTCTGCTGGAGATGGCCGTGTTGGTATGCTGGGAGAGAGAGTGGTTAGAGAACTCATCCGGCATGGGAGGGGTAGAGGTCGTGTCAGAGTAGGCGGCACGCTCCCGCTGTTTGTGCCGAATGTAGTCCCTTGCGTCCCCGAAGCGTCGAGACGGCTCAGGCTCCTCTCTTTGAGGCTGTCGGCCCCTCCCCCTGGCCGACTGGGTTTTCGCCAACAGACTGGACAAGTTCGTCCGTGGCACCCCAAGGGACCTTCCATGCGGACGGCAGAACGATGTGTTCCCAGCATCAGTTGCATTGGTTTTGTTATGCGTCTTCTTTAAAGCACCCTCTCCCTCTTTCCTGAGCAGCTGCTTAGAGGCAGAAGCGCGATTGCTCTCAAACTCCTTGCGAAGTTTGTTGAGTTCGGCCAGCAGAGTGGCTGCAGTAACTGGAGGTTGCTCGGCCTCATGAAATGAGGCGGTCAGCGGAACGCTGGAGTGTATTGTAGTGACTATATCCTCTACATGTCCGTCCTCGCCTGGACGAGGGCCGGTATTAGGTGTCTAACCATCTATTGCCATAACGGACGAGTATCCCCACAGACGGCGCTTAAATGTTTCGGGGTTTTTTCTAATCTCCTCGGATTCTGGTCGCGCTCTTCAGGCAATGAGACAAGGACACCTGCAAAATGAACGAATATTCCTTTACCGGAATATTCGCCTCCGACGATCAAGTTAGAGATCGGGAAACGGAAAGTTTAGAGAGAGAAAGTAGAGAGAAGTTGGAGCTCTTTAATGCTCTTTTTTAAGGTTATGTCACCATCCAACCCTCCCATCATAAATGATTGGGGTATTTATAGGGGTGGGAGTGTGTGCCCCTTTAGGGTTTGTACCCTAAAATTCCGTGACATGATTGGCTGCGCAATCAGAGAGTGTCACGTGTCGCATGGGGGCGCCGCTTTGCGGCTTTCAATGACTTTCCTCGGGATTTGGGCTCTGATGTAATAAGGGCCCTTTCTCTTGCTGATTTCAAGTGCTCTTTAGGGCATCTGACATGCGTCATCTCCCATAGGGACACTTGTTGCCCTTTGATTGGGCCAAATGTCACTACGGGATTGGACCACGTTTTTGGGGTTATTTTTACCCTAAACATATGTCAATCAATGCATGTTCACCGACTTATATTATGGCTTTCCTATGCATGCTCTAAAATTATCGAGGGTCTAGCTTAGATTAGTTATAGTCTCTCATTTTTCTTAGGATACTTTGCTTCCAAATATGTTTCTTTTGACATTGAATAGGCTTAATCCTAGATTTTTTTATATTTTTTTACTAAATTAGTATTTTTGACAGCCACCATTATCACCACTCACCACTTCCACTACCCCCACCTTTATCAAGACCTTTGTGTTCACCTTAAGGGTCTGTTCTCTTACGTTGAAATTCAGTTCAGTTCAGTTCAGTTTAGCTCCGCTCCTAATTTCCTTCTCTTATAAAATATTCATTTCAGTTCAGTTCAGTTCAGCTCAGTTCAGTTCAGACCCTTAACCCACAAAATTAATCCGTAGATTCACAAATTCCAATCATAAAAAACATTAAAATCACATGTTTCTCTTATTGATTAACAAAGTTGTATCTCAAAATGGCACGGTCGTAATATATGAGCAACTGTGTCAACATTTTATTTGTTGTACTTTATTTTCCTCATTCTTCATCTCCTTCGCCTTCGTTCTCCATTAAGACTACGAACCATCATCTTCGTCATCATCATTCTGCTCGTGTACACCACCATGTTCTTCGTCATCCTCCATCTTCTTCATCCTCCTTCATCTTTTCGGTGCCTTCGCCGTCGAATTAAAAGAAAAACAATAATAAAAATGGGTAAACAGTGTCATGGTTAACCCCAAAGGGTAGATTTGGAAAAAAAAAAAACAACAAAGGGTAGGAATTTTGCTCCTCTTGACTAAAGATAATAGTGAGATTTGATCTCTCCATTGAAGCAACAGATTTTTCCATTGAATTTCTCCATTTAAGTCTTAGAATTCCATTGATGGAGGTGAGAGGATGGAGAAAGAAGAACAAACTGATGAATGCCAAAAGAAGAGCAATTTACAATATTAACCCCACTTACATATTCAAAATGACACAAATACCCCTTTGAAATACTTGATATGTTGATCAGTAAGAGAAACATTGAATTACCCTTAACCTCACAGATTCACCTCAAACCCACTAAATTAGATGTGCATTACAAAGTCACGACCAAAAATTTCGTAAATTTGCAAATTGGACTCATATGTTATTGTTGCAATTTCTGATTTTTATTTATTAAAATCATGTGCTATATGTCAATTAATAAGGCAAATATTAGTCATCATTTTTAAAATCGTGATAATTTTAATAGCTTCTTGTTTCTAGTTTCTTGTTTTTGGTTAAAAAAATAATGATCCAAAATTCTGAGTAATAAGAGAAGGAGAAATAAGAGAAGTATCATTAGATTTGGGAACATGGAGCAAGAGACGTCTTATGTCCTGAGTATCACCATTTTCTCTTAAGAGCGAAAAGAACGCCCGATAGTGGTAGTGCACTTTCCTACATAGTATAGAGTATAGATTAGACCTGAGGTCATTTAGGTCAGATTCGAGTCGGGTCATGTTCAGATCAACAAATGTTCGGGTCGAATTCGAGTCGGGTCGATTCGAATTTCGGGTCAAAATCGGGTCAGCAATTCGGGTCAACTTCGGGTCGGGTCAAGTTTGGGTCGTGTCAATTCGGGACGGGTCTGTTCTGGTCAGGTCAAATTTTATGATCAATTTTCGAGTCAATTTCAGGTCGGGTCAAATTCAGATCAAGTCAATTCGAGTCGGGTCTATTCGGGTCAAGTTTGTGTCGGGTCACCAAAATAAATTCACTTTAATAAAATAGTTTTAATAAAGTAAAATCGTTAAAAAAAAATCATGAGTACCTATTACATAGGAAATAAAGAAGCCCTAAACTAAGTAATTCACTATTTCACCCTATTCACTTAGGATTCGGGTCAATTCGAATCGGGTCGATTCATGTCAATCAATTTGGGTTAAAATTAGGTAGGGTCACTTCGGGTTTCGGGTCGGGTCTGGTCAAGTTCGAGTTTCGGGTCAGATCATTTGGATCGGGTCACTTCGGGTCATCGGGTCATGTTCGGGTCAACTCTATTTCGGGTCGAGTTAGTTTGGGTTCGGGTCAATGATTTCGGGTCAACTTTCGGGTTACGGGTCAGGTCATTCGGGTCGGGTCAATCAGGTCGGGTCAGGATTGCCAGGTCTAGCATAGATAACTAGTTGTAAAGGACACAAATAATAGTTTGGTGCCACGGTGAAGGGCTAGTGGCTGTGAGAGAGGAGAGTGTGTGTGAGTTTAGGTTCTAGTCTGAGGGAGGAGATATAAAAGCAAAGAGGGTAAAATTGACATTTCACAACAAATAATATCACCTAAATAAGAATGTCATCTATTTAACTTTCCTAAAAAAGTTATCTAATTTGGAATGGAAAAAGTACGTCAGCTATAACACCAAGCTAAAATAAAATTCACTAAGACACAAATTTCATCAAAACGTAACTTGCCCAAGCAAGCATACCACATTTCTAGTGAAATTCAAATTTTGCTGACTTAAGACCAGCCAGACACCAATAAAGGTTCGCGCATATCTTACAACTCCTACAATCATAGTTTCTTTATGCAAAGCTTGAGCATAATTGGTCATTACATACAACGCATTCCATAATCCATGATATATCTCCACTTCTGTTTTGAACCTTGCAGCCCTTCAGCCGTGTTCAGCGTGCTTCATATTGTACAACTGCAATGAAAACAGACAAAATAAAGTGTAGAAACAATAATGGACTCAACACAACAAATCATTTTAACATATCATGCAGGGTACAATATTTCAATGCCTGAAAACCACAATGCTCACAACCCTTGTGACAATCACAATTACATATCATGCAGGATACAATATTGCAATGCCTATATGGCTACATAATACAATCTTCACACAAACCTTGAGAGTCTCAATTACAAAACACATTGTTTTCATATCTTTCTGTTCAAGTAAGACACGATGTAAGGCCGCAAAAGGCTCAAAGTAGTGATTGTTCATTACTATTTTGTATCACCTAAAATCTATGCTTTAGCCTATATATATATATATATATATATATATATATATATATATATATATATATATATATATATATATATATATATATATATTACTCCCTTCTTCCTGAGAATTCAGTTCACTAAATATGGGCTTTTGATACAAGGAAAGTTCTGAGTATATAAGCTGACGTAAAAAAAAGAGTAAAGAGATGAGTAAAAAATGGGTGAATGTGAAAAATAGATGGATAAATCAAGTGAGAGTGAATGGAAAGGTAAGGCAAAAGAGGTAAGGTGGTAAAAAGTTTTGCTGAAATTAGAATAACTAAAAAAGGAGTCAAAGTTTTGGGAGCACAGTATGTAATACATATACTTCCTCCCGTGCAATAAAAACTCTGCCACATCGGCATGATTCACCCAACATGTAACAGAAATTGAAAGCCACTAAACTGAGGTGTAAAAATCCACCACATTTTCGGTCAATACACATCTGAATCGCCCAAGAAACAGCCTGAATTTACGAATGAACTACTTTTCTGTTTTTTTGAGAAAGTTTTATGATTTTAGGAGAAGATAACTGTAGAAAGATTTTTAAGTTTGAGCAGAAACGAGAAAGTAAGAGAGCGAGGAAAGGGAAGGGATGAATAGGGGTAGATGGTATCAAAGCAAATAAAAATATTGCCTTAATAAAATATTAAAATCTCTTGAAATGCAAGCAACCAGAGACTGTTACAACTAGGAAAAACAAACAAATCAAAAGTACTAAATCCTATTTTAGATGGACCTAAAGTATAGATATTGCATAGATAAAAAAAAACTCTCTTGAATTGCAAACAACTAGAGCCTATTACACACTGCATCAAATAAATTCCATTACTGAAAGATGCAATCCACTAGAAAATAAAACATATGCAAAAAAACAGTCCATAAATTTTAGGAAAAACACAATTTAATAATCCCAACTTTACTCAATTTACTTTGAATAATCCCAACTTTTGATTATTCTGTACTAATCCCAACTTTAACCTCTATTTTCTTCTATCAATCCCAAACCAGTCAACAAAAGTCAACCACCTATTATTGTAGGTAATTTGCCACGTGTCAAGTTGTAAATGGTCCAAAATATTTTTTAAAAATAAATCAGTAAAAAAAAAGAAAAAAAAAAACCAGCCACCACCAGCCCACAACCACTGGCAGTGGCCATTCCCTTCCCCAGCCCAACCGAACCACAATGCCCATGCCTCAGCCTCCACAACCTCCCCTGAAACCGCCCCACCCCCGCAAAACCGGCCTTCCTCCCACACCCTACCCCGTAAAACAGCTATAGCCAAAACCCATAACCCCGAAACCACCCATAACCAAAGCCCCGTCCCTAAAATTTGCCCACACTAAACCACCCCCTCCCCAATTCTTGCTGATTTCGACCCCTTTCCCTTACTTCCAGGCCGGAAATCGGCCCCCACCCCCAGAAACCGCCACCAATTTTCACAGCACCGCCCTCGCAACCATTCCCCTCCACACACCATTGCCCTAATCGTCGCCCTCCCTTCCCAGACTCCTTAAATCAGTGTTACCCGGAATGCGGGACGATAGCGTGTTCCCCGTACCGGAACGTCCGTACCCAAACGCGGTACTGACGCGTTCCAGTTCGCGGTGGTTCGCGATCTAGTTCGTCGACGACGGAGAACCCAGTTGTAGTACGATCTAAGTTGTAGTCTAAGAGTGACAATTGGGTTGTCATTTGTTTATAATTTCGGGTATAATTGGAAGTTTAAAAGACTTTCAAGGTTTCATCAATGGAGGAAGGAGATAAAGAATCGTGGAATGGAAGAGTGATAAGACTAATAACTGATAAGAAAACAAGTCTAATAAAGATTGTGGACCCCTATGTCCTAATGTCCCCTTCTCTTCTTATTTTTTTTTCTTTTTTAATTGTCTACACAAGTACACAGTATTTTTTTTGTACTGTGCTACAGGGCCTACAGTCGTATAGCCATGGGAATTGAGCAATACATTAATGCAATTTCCAGCTTTATCTTTTTTTTTTTCTTAAAAAATGTATATATAATTAATTTATGGTAAATAGTGGAGTATCAATAATAAAATTATAAATTATAAAGCACTTATAAAACAAATGACCATACGTTCCGGGAACTCTAAAGGCTACGTTCCACGTTCTCGCACCCGTACCAAGTTCCGGAACGTCCCGCGTTCCATGTAACATTGCCTTAAATAGATCGCCCCTTCCTACCCCCACCCTAAAAATCGGCTTCCCTTAACCTATTTCCCCTCCATTCAGTGGAAATCGGTGGTGGGGAAGGTATTTAGGGGTTAGGGGAAGGAGAGCTGGTCGCAAATCGGTGGTGAGGGCTGGGGGAGGGGGTTGGTTTGAGCTAGGGATGGGGCGAGTTGGCTGCGACGGTGGTGGTTGCGGATGGCTTAGGTTTTAGTTTTTTTTTTCTTTTTTCTTAATTTATTAAAAATTAAATTTTTTATTTTAATTTTTTGAAGCAATTAACATGTGACACGTGTCAAATAATTTTTTTTAAAAAAAATTTAACCCCTTCATCAAGTTACCGGTTTTTGGGACCGAAGAAAGTAAACGCAGCTTAAAGTTGGGATCATTGTAAAATAATCGAAAGTTGAGATTATTTAAAATAAATTAGACAAAGTTGAGATTATTAAAGAGTATTTTTCCTAAATTTTAATACCAAAATACTGAGCAAAGGGCTCAAATGATTAGGCCCCCATTCTTTAGCCTAACAAAAGGTTTAGAGTAGGAAGTTTCATCAAAAAATTTATACTAAACAAAAAATAAATTATAATAAATCACAATTCATGGAACCAGATAGAAAAGTACATGATGGTTTTGATGATTTCTGCCTAGATAGATTAAGCTTCGAAGCTCACATTAAAAGGGTGAGGGCAGTTGCATCTCTAAGTGTAGATCTCCGCAACACAAAACAAAGGTGTCAATATCTAGAGGACTACAGCTAGTGTGTAAGTGGTGAGATTTAAGAATGATTGACATGCTATTTTATAGCTGCTTATACAAAATGTAGAACAGAGGAGGAGCAATCAGAATTCCTAGTAAAACACGATGTTGTATATACAAAAAAAAATAATGATAGTCCACATAAAGAATATATTTATCATGCATTAAAGGAGAGGGAACCCCGGTTTGTATATCAGCCTTCAAAAACAGGGGAATTACCCTAAACCGCTACTTCATATAGCAATTTTACCTAAAACTGCTACTCCACTATTTTAGAAGGCTGATATACAAAGCCTTATTAAGTTGAATTTTCCCCATTAAAGGATTTCATGTACACAAAACCTCCCAACAATTCATGTTAAGGAATTCACATGCTCATTAAAACTCCCAAATAACCACATACCCCAATAATTACCACAAACAAGCACACAAATAATCAAAAGCACAAACATCCACTAGCATTCGAAAAAACCTTACAGTTCACTATTAATAAACTATGAGTAAAACCACATTCAGCAAAAACCATATAGTTTTCAAACTTTTCACCATTAGAAAGAAATTCCTAAGAATGATATCAACCCCAATCTACTACATAACTGAATCAAAATACACTAACCATCAAATTGGCATTCTCTGCTTATACCAACGTACTAAACTAGTCAAAGAAAGTCCTACAAAATCCAACTCAAGGCATACAAGTGAAAACCAAAAGACTACCCTACAGTTTACTACGAAACTAATGATGATATTCTTTAACTCCAATAAATTAACAGCATAAAATTGCACCCAAAAAGAACATACATAAACACAAATGAAAAGAAAAAACTGAAATATGTATAGAATCAAACTTACTTCGACGAGTTCTTTTCTTGTATAGAATGCGATAACCACATTCTCTACACTGAATGACATCTCCCGGCTTCAGAGTGTTCTCTTGCCCACAATCTACACAATCACAAAGAATATTAATTTTCAAATAATCCTTCAATTGTTCTGCCAAAATATGGATTTAATAACTGACATGCAAAACATAATTGTAGGAAATTCAAATTACCTCCACAGATGTAGCTTACTGGTTCAGGTTGAGGATCCATTGCAAACTAAAAAACCCTAAAAATCAGATAAAGCAAATTAGGGTTTTCAAAAAAATATAATAAAATTGGCAATTCAATTTTATAATGTACTCGATGACTTTTGATAAATTTGTGTTTAAACAAGATAATCCATCAATTACTGCTAGGGTTTTGCAAAAAATTTAAGGGTTTTGGCCAAGAAATAAGACGTATAATTTCATAGTTGAATTCTAACATTAAAGGGTTGTGCAATACATTAGCAACCAAATTTGACTCAATTATCAAATAAGGCTCGAAAAATCACATAATTTTAGGGATATTTTATTAATATATCATATTAGGCTCATAATTTAGTTTTCATAATCTTAGAAATTTAGAACCAATAGTTGAGATTTTCAAAACAACTTACCTCAGCTGCTTCAATGGGGATACAAGTATTTCAACGGAGAACGTCAAGTGCGGTTCAATGGAGAACTGAGGCTTCTGAGAGGTTTCGACAATTAGAACAATTCAATGGGTAGAAATAGAATCCCTATTAAAAGCCCTGACCCGCCCCTGTTATATTCGTAGGGTTATTCGTAGGGTTATTCGTAGGGTCAAATCCGTCCAATAAATAAAGGGATACTAAATGCAGGGACAATTTTACATAAATGAAGGAAAAAATTTCAGAAAAAACCTATTATACCACTCTTTTTGTAAAAAAAACCTTTTAAAAAAATTTTGGCCAAAAGAAACGTGTTTCAAAAAAAATTTTGTTAAAGACAACCAAAATCTCTAATTAACCTAATTAGCCCCTGATTACCCCTAATTATAATTAAATCTTATTTAATTAATTAAAAATCATAAATAAATTGATAAATTAAAAAAAAAAAAAAGCATACACCACCGCCAAACCCCATCACCTGCTGCCACCCCTTGGTAGCAACCGCCCCCACCCCGTCGGCCACCAAAAACCCCCACCCCTCCCCCTCCCCCCGCGCCGGCAAAGTCCATCCCCCTACCCCTCCTATTCCTTTGAACCACCACAGCGACCACCCACCCATCACTAAACCCTAACCCCAAAAACTCCCACCCCCCTCTCTACCACTACAACAAAACGGCCACCAATCCATTTCCCACACCCCTGGAACGACAAAGGGAGGTCGTTTATGGGTGTGGAAAAAGGAGGGGATTGTTTATGGTTGTGGAAATGAGGGGTGGAATTTTCGGGTTTGGGTTTAGTAAGGGTGGGTGGTCGCGGCGGGTGAAAGGGAGGGGGTTGGGTCTCTAGTCGTCGTGGTGGGTGAAAGAGAGAGGACTGGGTCTCTTGTCGGCGTAGTGGAGGGGGTTGGCTGGGTAGGCCAACCTTAGGAGAGGAGGCTTGGTTGGTGTCGGAGTTGGGTGGTGGTTCAAGGAAAGAAAAGGGAAACGCAGTGGGGCGCAGGGCGGGGGTTTGCCGGCGCGGGGGTAGGGATTTTGTTCGCCGGCAGGGGTGAGGGTGGGGGTGGCTGCTACCAGGGGAGGAGGAAGGGAGATGGTGGAAGGTGTTGATGGGGTTAGGGGTGGTTTAAGTTTTTTTTTTAATTTATCAATTTATTTTTTATTTCTAAATAATTAAATAAGATTTAGTAGTTAATTAAGGGTAATAAGGGGCTAATTAGGATAATTAGAGGTTTTGGTTGTCTTCAACAAAAAAAAATTAGAAACAGGTTTCTTTTGGCCAAAAAAATTTTAAAAGGTTTTTTCTGACAAAAAGAGGGTTATAATAGGTTTTTTTTCTGAAAAATTTTCCATAAATTAATTTTTAAAAAAACATTATATTCCAATTTTGCCCTTGTTTTAATTTTATCCTTTACTCTCTTAACTATATAATCATCCCTACCGTTTAATTTATAACAATGTTCTAACGTATTCAACCTTTCATCCTATTTAATATTCAATACTGTATAAATTCATGGACATTAATGAAGTGCACTACGACGATTTTTTTGAGGTATGTGCTGTAATTTTTTTTCCTCGCAAAATCTAATTTATAGATGAACAATCAAACAAAATAAAATTTTCATATTGTACGGAACGTTTATTTTGGGGCGTAACAGGGTGTCGAGATGTGTTTCCGGGGGTCAACATGACCCCCCGATAAAGAATTCCGAGGGTCAACATTACCCCCCGGATGAGATTTTCGGGGTTCAACTGTACCGCCCGGATGAGATTTTCGGGGGTCTATAGTACCCCTCGGATGAGATTACCGGGGGTTAACAGGACCCCCCGGATCAGATTTCCGCGGGTCAATAGTAAACCCCTAAAAAAAGAACGAAATATTATATATAAAAAAATATTATATAAAAAAAATAAGAACGAAATTATACATATAAATTACCTTAGATTTTTTTTTTTTTTTTTTTTTTTTTTGTGAGAGCATAAATTACCTTAGATGGGAGGGAAGATAAATGTAAATTTTTGGGATTAGCAGAAATTTATGGGATCATGGGATTAGAAATGGAGATTTTTTTAAGTTGAATTCTACGTTCAAGTTGAAAAGGGATATTGGGTTCTAAAAATTGAATAAGGGTATTTTAGTCTTTTATTATTTCCATATTAATAATAAATTTCTGCATTTAGGATATTTTGTACTGCATTTAATACTTGTGTAAATAAATTGGGTGGAGTCTTAACTCTTTAAGACGATCGTCCAATTATAGGTCCTTAACGAGTTTGAAATTAGAAACTAGACCTATTCACAAATTGGATATCCGATCCAAAATGTGATTTTGGATTGGATGTTCGAATACTAGGGTATTAGAAACTGATATCCAAATCCAATCTGAAAATATTAGATGTTCGAATATCAGATATCCAAAATTTTTGGATTGGATGCTTCAGATATTCATTATCCAATATTAAGTAAAATTGATTATGATTACTTTCTACATTTCACTAATTTTTACCGCTTTTTTATCGTTAAGTTGTATAATAAATTTTAACAAAACAGTAATCTTTTTGCAATAAAAATAATCATCAAATATATTAAGAATATTATTATGAAGTTAATAATATATGAACAATTTAAAAAAATTATATACATTGCACTATTTCAGCCTTTATATTTCGAATATCGGATATTTGAAATTTTGAAAATCAGTATCGAAATCCACATTCGATATCCACTTTTTCGGATCGATATCCAATCCAAAATGAAAACTCAGATCAAATATCCAAAAATTTGGATCGATTGCAAATTAAATTATCGGATTTTCAAATTCTTGCTAGTTTTGTACAGGCCTATTAGAAACTAGTGAGTAGCTCGGACATTGCCCCAAATTGCTACTATTGTAGACTTGTAGATGTGAAATTGATAAATTTTACTAAAGGTTTTTAAAACTGAAATCGTCGTTGTTAAACCAAAATTGAGTCATTTTAAAAGTATTTCTTTTTTTTTTATATATATATGGAGGATTTCTAAATTATGCCCCCAAAATTCACTAGTACAAAAATTGAATTAGGCATCCCTAATTTGCCACCGGTTCAACCTAGACCGGTGGGAATAAAAATGGGCGGGGTTTGGGTAAAGGTAATTGGCACCGGTTCAACCAAAACCGGTGCCATATGTGATAAAGGCCATCGGTTCAAACCGGTGGCAATTTAAAAAAAAAAAAAAAAAAAAAAAACTCGCCTTATCTCTCCCCTTCCTTTCTTCCTTCTCTTTCCTTTTCATTTCTCAGCCTTCCCTCCTCTTTCGAGAACGCGAAACCCTCCACTGTTGCATTCCCCTTTTCCTTCCACCACAGTCGCCACCTTTAACGCTGGCCACGTGCATTGCCAGAGGTTCGAAAACCCTCCACCGGTGTCGCCTTCTCTTTCCCCTGTCCTTCTCTTTCCCCTTTCTTTCTCTTTCATTTTCGGACAACTCCACCACTCCGACACCTGAAGGGTCGCCGCAGGCCACTCCACCACTTCGCCACCTGAAGGGTTCCTCCAAGCTCGAGGTTCTGCCGTGCCCTGAGGTTCTCCAAGCCGTGCCCTGAGGTTCTCCCAGCCCTGAGGTTTTGTCGTCCAGCTTCAAGCCGCCGCGCCACCGCCCCTGGTTCCTCCACCACCGAGGGTCGTCCTCTGCCCTCAATCTCTCCTCCCCCTTCCACCTCCAACTAGGGTAAGTTTTAATTTTTTTATTAAAATTTGAACAATTTGAAATATGTACTTATATTATTTTCAATTGCATTTTAACCAATTGTTAAGAAAATTAAAGTTAAGGTTTGAATATAATTTTACCCTAATTTTTCTGAATTTTTGGTTGTTTATTGGGAAATTTTGAATGAATTATAGATAATTAGATAGTAACCTTGTTCCTTAGTTGAAATTTTGTATGTTTTAATGAGTAATTTTAGGTTGATTTAATGAGTAATTTTGAATACATTAGAGATTAGTAAAATTGTTACTTAATTAGTTGAATTTCAATATGATTTAATGTGTAATTTTTAGGTTATTGGGTAATTGTGAATATATTAGAGAATTAGTGACCTTGCTACTTAGTTGTGAATAAATTAGAGAATTGTGAATACATTAGAGAATTGTGAATAATTTAGAGAATTGTGAATAAATTAGAGAATTAGTGACTTTGCTACTTAGTTGTGAATAAATTAGAGAATTGTGAATAATTTAGATTATTGTGAATAAATTAGAGAATTGTGAATAAATTAGAGAATTAGTGATCTTGCTACTTAGTTGTGAATAAATTAGAGAATTGTGAATAAATTAGAGAATTGTGAATACATTAGAGAATTGTGAATAAATTAGAAAATTATGAATAAATTAGAGAATTAGTAACGTTGCTATTTTTTTTTATAGATTCATATGTGAAACACGAGTTTAGCTTGAGGACTACATATTTAGCTCAAGTTGGAAGTTCATAAGTGTACATCCATTGTATTTGCTATATTGGTATGAATTATAAACCTTATTAAGCTATATTTCTTTCTATTTATCCATTTAATAAAAGTTTTTTCATGATATTACAACTTGTGTATTGTTTAATTCCAAATAAATACAACAATATATATAATTCTTGCATCATCATATGCCTAGATACCAGTTCAAGGCTTTCTCATTAAGAGAAAGTCTTGAATAGTCCCCGGTTGGGACTGTTCTTGAATTTTTACTTTCACTTAGGTGGTGAATGTATGTCTTCTATTCGATTTTAAGGAACATCTTGGTTTACCATTTCCTCGCTATATTCTCTAGGTACATATGTGGGTAAGTAATTATCTACATCGTGTACTTGGAGAACTAGGGGGAAATGTTACCAGATTTTCATTTAAATTAGAAAGTTGACATACATTCACTAGTGAGAGTAGATATTCAAGGATGGGTTAGGTTGGAGTGATAAGGACCCTTTAGAAACATGCATTTTTTCACTATATGAATGGTATATTCACGATGTGTACTTGAATTTGATTTACATAAAATATGTAGCAATTACACATTATTCATAATATGTTGCTATATATGTTTAGAGACAATTTACTAAATGGAGAAGGATCGTGGTTTGATGTATGGTAGACGCGATACATTGGAATTTTGGAATGGGGT